TCTCAAGTAAATTTATCCATTCTGAGTGATGTGGCTCTCTGAGGCTATATGCATGAAAGCAAAGAGGAGAACTGGAATGCTGCTTATGATGAGGTGTGTGCAGAGAAATGTGCATGTTTTCTTTCGAAAGTAATAAAGCACACTTACAATTGAATTAAACACGCAGGCCGATGAATTACTCGAAACAATGGATATATACAGTTTTTGGAAAGGTCACAATTAGAATACAAATCCACAAAAAGATAATCAAGCTAGAGTAGGTCATGAATCGTTGCTCAAGTTATGGAAGGATGTTTAGAGGTGATGGTGAAACAGATGCGTTGATTTGAGTGGATCAGCTTGAGAACGTTGTATCAAGCAAAGATCACGAAGAAAGCGGCCGCATTAGCTTATGCATGAATAGATGAATGAATGATATATCGATGAGTCTCTTTAAGGGCTCATTGTAATCCGTGAGTTCATGCACTTCGCATGCATGACGAAATCGTGTCTGATCAGAATTGGATCATTCAGCACAGTAAGATTACGAAATGTGCATCAAGCAGTGTTGATTCAAACGGATAATTTATTAAGGCAATGCAAGAGATCATATGTAAGCAAATGCATCAAATAAAGCTGTGTACAAATAATACGTTATTACAATGATTGTTTTATATGAAATTATTTCTTAATCGCTGAGCTTTTTGAGCTTTTCCGTCTAGAATTCTTCGAACTACTTCTGGTTCGATCTATATCCAACGGTTTGTTCATCATTTCTTCAAGATCTTCCACTGTTCTTCCTTAAACAAAACATATTACTGCTGACTGCAAATGGCCATTTCGAATACTCGCTCATTACGATTATGACGATCAGTATCAAATAAGATTATAACGAAACACTGTCATTTTACATTCGCACATATCATTTTTCATATACATTATGAATTATTAGACTTCGTCAAATCAGATATATTCACTCAAAGTCAGAATGAATCGGTGACTCGGACGTTGATCTAACACGAACCTCCTTTAGTATCCATCCATTTTGGTGGTGCTCCACTGACTCTAATTGGATCGGATTGGAAAAATTCTTCAGCATGCTCATATTCTGGTACTTTTGTGCGTAGTCTTATCTAGAATTTCACTTTACTGAGTGACTGATGCAAATATTGAGTTGTTTTACATAAAAATCAAGAATTTGGCTGAATTCACGAGATCTTTATACGGATCCATTTGGAGCATATTACTTGAACGGTACTTCAACGGTTCGTTACGTCTTTAATAGGAGATATTTCAACGTCTTCTGAACAACCAGCTTGTTTTTAGTGGGGATCAGACAACATCAGATGAATGAAAGTTTAACGAATGAAATGCAACGAACTAAGTCTTCAACTTGCGCATCAGTTTCCCAATCGAACTTATCGTTGTACTTTATACCCAAACGTTTTATGAGTCGTAAAAAGCATTTATGAATCATCGAATAATTCGGCCGATTGTAACAGTTCAGAGTCCGTAGATGTGGTAAAATTGGATGCATTTCCACTTCAAATTCATTCATTAACATTATTAATAACACCAATTTTATCATGAGATATACAAAAATGCTTCAATATTCAATTTCCACTTCTTAAAATCTCAATCAACCCTAGAATCAAATCACAAATTTGCATGCGATCTGCTCATCCATGTGGTATTTGTCATCATATCCGAAAATACGACCGTCGTGAATACACTGTTGATAAGTTGATCAGATAAGACAAAATGATCAAATACCCGGAAAGTTTTTGAGGAGTGCTTCGTCGCTAATGTTCATTTTCGTGAGCTCCAATCGTTTCTTATCTTTCTCTTTTTGCCACGGTAATCCACAATGTAACTCGATAAGCATGTATATCAACGACCAAATGTCGTCCTTCCGACCCTTCAAAAATTTCGATTTCATTCAAATTCTAAAACGATACCCCGTTCATGATCAGCGCGGTTCCGTGTGCATGACTTTGTTCAATCGCTTGTTGCGATCACTCAAATATTCATTAACAATAAGCATGTTGATACTTGTAACTAAAAAAAGTGAATTCAACAGATTCAATGCACAAATAAGCTAATTGTGAACGGAATGTTTCAAATATCTGCCTGCCATCAAATATGAATACCCATAACAAGAGGTATAACAGTTGCTTGCAAGCAGTTCTCAACCTGCTCTTTTTTGTCGTGTACAGTCGGTGAGCAATATCGCATGG